ATAATATAGTTGTGTCCCTACAGCCATGAGTACCAGATGATCATGGGGGTCATCTGGAAACGTCTTAGCGACACGGGAAAAAATTGGCGACATGTTTACAAGGTCAACAATATAAATGTCTTGCTGCTTTTTGTACTTCTCATTCCGCTGTAACATTGAATGAGACTTTCTTGCTGGCTTATCTTTTCCTTGTGCTTCAGGCTTTGACAGTCTTGGAGTACATGGTAGGCCATGGGTCAGAACGTGTCATAGATGAGATTCGAGAACGCGCATACCAATTATCGGTAATGAGCGTTCTTACTAATCCATTTTGGAAGTGATCGTCAAGAAGAGAAACTTGTTTGCTGTATCTCAACAGTCTATTATGCTACTCAAGAAATGTTTCTCTTTCCTGTTTGGCAGACATTGGCCAATTTTCAATATATTGATTCCAGTGGTAGGGATCAAGGTAACAATGTTAGGAAGAAGTCGCAGAGCCTTGTGGCCTTGGTGAATGACAAAGAAAGAATAGCGGAGGTCAGACAGAAGGCGGCTGCTAACAGGGACAAGTAAGTCTGCTTTTTGATGTAGCTTTCTGAAATTTATTAATCGTTTCCTTTCTGGTTGTGGCATTTCATTGCTTTCTGCTTGGCCTTTATATCAAGCTTTTATCGGCATTTTACTCTACCTTTGCTCTCTATATGTCTCTCACTGAAGCAGTTACATTTTCCTAGTGATCTTTCAACAGCTTTAACTTCTATTTCTTAATTGTTTCTTGAATTCCGAGTCAATATGGCCTGAGAAAGAAAGGCATGGCTTTTGGCTGCATTCAGTCCGTTGGGTAATATACCTGTGGTGGTCACACTTTTTGCTTGTGAAACTATATGTAGTGATATAAGAAAACTATTGCACCATTTCTGAACATGGTAAAGCTAAAGCCTGAAAAAACTATTTTACAACAGGTATCGCAGTTCAGCGGCTGGTGGGATGTATAGGCCTTCAGGAGGGTATGGAGACAGATATGATTATGAAAGCCGCTATGGGGGCAGGGATGAAGAGCGTAGTAGTTATGGAAGAGAAAAGGAATATGGCTACAGGGATGATGATAGATATAGTCGTGATGGAGATCGGTACTCCAGAGATTCTGAAGATCGGTATGGAAGAGATGGATATAGGGATGATGATTACCATGGAAGGAGCAGAAGTGTCGATTACCAATATGGGTCAAGAAGTCGGAGTTCTGACAGAGACCAAACTTTTGAGGATGATGGCCAATCTTCTTCGCGGTAAATTTTCAAATTCAAAACCGTATGTTTCACCTTTTTTCTTGACCTCACGAATAAGGGAGATAATCATTGGAAAAATATCAATTCTACTCGGATGGACTTTTTAACCTTGAAGAATAGGTTAAATTTCCTCATCAGGGCAAATGCTTGTTTTAAGAATCTTCTGAACCTCTTTGAAATAGGCCATCCAAATTCTAGGATATAAATTGATTCATTCCTTTTCATCCTACAGGGGCAGTGGTGCCAGAGCTGATGATCATTCTCAGAATGGGAGGTAGACTTTAAGATTATGCTGGCATTGTTCAGGCCTTTTTGTTTTAAACTAAATATTAGGATTTAATGTCAACTCATTTCCTTCTCTTGGGGTTTAATAGCAGACAGCTTGAGAGGAAATTTTCTGAACAAAATATTGGTGCCCCACCTAGTTATGAAGAAGCTATTAGTGAATCACGGAGCCCCGTTCACAGTGAAAGGTGAAAATTCTTGACCATGCCAACTGACTAGCTAGTAGCTAGTACCTATGTTTTGAGTGATTCTGATGTATTTAATTTGAATTCGAATTGTAGGGATGGAGGAGAGACTCCACAGGTGGCTGCTTCAAGAGCTGCACCAGGAGCTGCTTCTCCATCTGCTGGAAATACTGCGGACAAAGCAACTGCTGGTTTTGGCGATGAATCATCTCCTCCAACCAAGGAAGTTAAAGCTTTTGATGAATTTGATCCACACTATACCATTTCAGGTATAGCGTCCTCTACGCACAGATATTATAATGACCAAGTTCTTTCAGCCTTTTGTTGGCCTTTCAAACTTGCCATCTGCATCAGGATTTGTCGTAATTGATAATGTGAAAATCTTTATGAAGTCACTAGAACATCCTTTCTCATTAGAGGTTTAGGATTGTGTTCTAATAGGCGCTTTGTAATGCTAGGTTGCCACCAAGGCGCTTTGTAATACTAGGTTGCCACCAAGGTCTGCTTGTTTGGATCATTGTCTGAGCTACAGAAAGCCAATTTGTAGTTTGCAGTGTCGGCTTTCATTGAGCTATTTAGTTAAAAGCAAGTTCTGAAAAGAACTTTATTCCATATTACAGCCATGAAAATCTACTCACTGTGGATGAGTATTAGGAAGATATCATGCTTTGTATAACATTTTTTCTCTTCTTCAGCCGGGCTTCCATCTTCTACGCCTTTAAATATTGCTTCTGCTCCTGTATCTGGCCCTCCAACATCTGACCTGCCCGCCTCAGCCACTGTTGAGATGGACTTGCTCGGCTCTCTTTCAGATGTATTTGCACCAAACCCGCTGGCCATTGTACCCATTGAATCTGCTTCAGTTGAAACCAATGGACAAGCAAACTCTGGTCCAGCTCCATCATTTTCTGCATCTCAGCCTTCGACTCAGGTATTGACATTGGGTTTAGCCACAAGTGCTTGAGGCTCTTTTCAACGGGTTCACACTGATTGCTTCACTGGGTTTGAGCGGAAGCTCTGCCGAATGTTTTTCTTAATCATTTTGACTAAATCTGACTCTTGTTTGTATAAATTTTTCTCGTGTTACACAGGCGTTTGATGATCCATTTGGTGGTGACTCTCCTTTCAAAGCCATCCCTTCTGGTGACACTGTCCTGAGCCAACAGCAGAGTTTTGCAGCTCCTTTCCAGTCAATGCAACCCACCCAGACCACAGAGGTCTCGCATCTGGCTGCCCTAAAACCCGACAATACTGATAACTTTGGCTTCGGGGACTCATTCTCTGCTGTTGCTAATCCTAATTCCGGTGTTCCGAATATGCCCCCTCCATCAAACTCACAAGCTTTCCCTCAAGAGCAATTAACCACGTCAGGAAATGAACTCGATATTCTCGCAGGCATTCTCCCACTCTCTGGACCTCCGACTTCCCTACCTTCACAACCGAGTGGTAACATGTACCAGAACTTTCATCCTCAACCAGTCCCTACAGCTCCAAACATGCCAGCTCAAACTCCTTTTGGTCAAGCTGCACATCCTTATAACATGGCTTCTCAGCCACAAAATCTGACGGGAAGTATGCTGTTTAATGGCGGAGGCTTCATGCATCAGCAAGGTCCTGCTGGTCCAGCAAGGTCCCAAATTCCACAGTTTGCTCCACCATCACAACCTACAAATGGAAGTTACCTTCCACAACCTGTTTCTGCTCCTCCACCGAGCTCTCAAACTCCGTATCGTACACTCAGTGCACCGGCTGGTCAGCTCGATGGTGGCAACAATGCCTTCGGTGACATTTTCTCATCAACTGGACCATCGCAACCAGCTCTAACATCTTCAACAGGAGCGTTTGATATGGTTCCTCAGCCGCAGGCTCAGAAGAAGTTCGAGCCGAAATCAGCAATCTGGGCGGAAACGCTGAGCAAGGGGCTCGTTAACTTGAACATATCTGGACGTATGGCATTCTCGACAATAGTAGCGCATATTACCTTTTTTGTATCATACTTCCTAATGTTTCTTTTTTCTAAGTGTCCCTCAACTTCTTGCAGCGAAAACAAACCCGTTGGCAGACATAGGAGTGGACTTCGACGCAATAAACAGGAAAGAGAAACGGCTGGAGAAACAGCCAACCGCTCAAGTAACATCGACGATCACAATGGGCAAAGCCATGGGATCTGGTTCAGGCTTGGGCCGTGCGGGCTCAACCGGCATGAGGCCCCCACCGGCTCCAGTCGTGGGGTCCAACATGGCCATGGGAGGCATGAACCAACGGCCCATGGGAATGGGTATGAACACGGGAGGGTACGGACAAGGCTACCCGATGGTGGGTCCGGGTGGGTACAATCCCATGATGGGTCCGGGTGGTTACAATCCTCAGCAGCCATATGGTGGATACCGTTAAGGACCAAGCGAATTACGATGCAAACGCACTATTCACTAGTAAAAATTCACGACGGAGAGACTTCATATATTTGATTTATATGTCTTCTTTTGCTTGCTCTGTTTCATCCGCCTTTGATTCGTTTTCTACTGTCTGTACGGATGGGGTTTTGTTGTTGTTGTTGTGATTATAAGCATGTATAGGACTTGCGCTCTTGTTTTTTGCCCTCCGTGTAATATAATTGGTGCTGAATCTCTCTATTTCTCTCAGGCATTTAATGAAGATTGAAAAGGATTGTTAATTAGACCCCACATGTTGATATGACATGGTTTCTTTCTCAGCCACCTGTGGTTGAAAGAATTCTTCACTCCTTGCCAGTCTACCACAGGCTTACATCAAGGGCTGTGTGTTATAACTCAATTATTTCGAAATAGTAATAATATTATTCTTCTATACAGAGAAAAAAAGAATTAAGAAAACGACATTGGCGTTTTTTTTTTGTGGGAAAGGAAAGCACAAACTTTTGTCAGAGTGTACATCTCATCAGATCAGAGCCAATAACCTCAGACTTTGGTCGAGGTTTCGGCTATGGCACGGCCACCGCCAAGTGACCCTCCAGCCTCCTCCTCGTCCGCCACCTCTGCACTGTCTTGCTCTTTCCGATCTTTCTCCCGCCTGAGAATATCAAGAATAAAAACACACAAATGCCATCAAGTATTTTTTAAGTGTAAACTGACATGATCAACGGCTATTTCTGTAGTGTTTTCCCAAGTGAATCTTGAATGTGGAAAGAGATATCAAACTGAAGGAGGAGAGATTAAGAAGGCGTACATAGAGTATATGACCAGTCCAACTGCTGTTGTTGCAAAGGCCAGGAAGTAAAGCCAATCCACCTGACAGCACCACAACCACCCAGATTGTCTCAGGAAACGTTGTGCTGAGTTTTTAAGTAATCTGATCTGATAAACGGGAAATGTATGAAATTTCGACATGCAAAAAGTGAGTAAACCTTCTCGTGGTAAGCGAAAATGCGGATCACAACCGCCCACATGTCTGATGTTAGCAATGAGAGGTTGAACATTGCAGAACCATTGGTCTGAGAACGCAGAAAAAAGTATCAGGCTTTAGAAGATTATGTCGTCGTGAGAAAGCAAAGACACTAGAATCATCATCACATGGATCTCCAATCCTTTCATACCTTGAGTAAGATTGGGACTAACGAGTAAAAGAGAAACATTGCAATTGCAAATCCAAGGAAAGGAGCTATCTGAAACAGCAGAAGCATCGACCTTTAAGTTTGTACCTATGAAAAGTAGAGTTTGTTGAGATGTTATGTGAGAAGGATATAGAGGGACTTACAGCCCCGGCTGACCACTGAATAGATTTGAGCTCCCCACGTTCAAGTATGGCTCTAAAGACAAGTCAAGGAATACCCTTTTAACGGTAAACCTGGTCAGAAGTATCCAAGAGCATGCGTAGTTAAAGCAAGATTTCATTTCTGTTGCTCCAAAAGCTCGATGTAGTGAACAAGATGAGGTAAGATATGGTTTTAACGTTAATGTGTGCCATTAATACTACAAATATAGTGAACAAGTGCATTATTACTACAAGCATAGTGATACTTTAAGGATACATCTGAATGGCACTGATAATGGCACCGAAAAAGCCCAAAAAAGACATGAGCTCAGTTCTGTCTGCGTTCTTCACTAGGAACTCCTGTAACCATTGAAGAAAAGTAAAGGACAATCAGGGAATAGGACTTATGAGGACAATCCTTTCTTACCATTTTGCAAAAAGAAAAACGTTTCCGTGTCTCGTATATGCAATATAGATCAGGCTACACTGTAGAGATTTCCTAACCTCACTGACATTGCTGACAGCATACAATGTTGCTCCGGCTATAACAATCAAATCTCCTTTAACAGGATTACTTCCTCCTGAAAGCCACTACGTAAGCTTAGTTTTCGAAGAGTTCACACTGCCAATGTATTTGTATACTTGCGAACTTCTGATGAGTGAAACCGTGGAAAAACTAAAAAGAAAAAAACCTAAAGAAACAGTGAAACAAGATATGTCCTTACCCGCGGCCCGATCATTTGCATGAACATCAGAGAAGACGACCATGACAACACCGATAATACATATAACCACACCAGTGATCTTCTTGAATCTATACTTTGTTTTCAGAAAAATCCAAGTGAGAAGCAAAACACACGGGATTGCCCAACAGTCAAGCAGCATTACGCTTGTCAATGATGTGTACTGATAAGCCTTCACCACTGCAAAAAAGGATGAAAATTATTCAACATTTCAGATTGCACGCAGTGAAACAAATCAACGGTTTCAAAAAAATGTTGTCAACACTCCCAGAAAAAAAGAGGGGTTAAAAGTATGTATACTGCAAGTGAAAACGCAACATAGCAACAACTAGACAAGCTCGGGCAAATTTTAAGGCATACAACTTCTCGATTTGAAAGGTAAAACTCTTAAACCCGAATAGTTCATCATGCATCTAAGCAAACGAAAACCATAAGGTCAGAGTTTAAATCAACTGCCAAAGACATGAACCCCTGAAAAGAAAGATATGTGTCAGCTAGAGAACTTACCGAGAAAATTTGCCTCCACATCTACTAAAGCGAGGAGGAGATAATAATACCACTTCGCCTGCAAATTTGCAATGAAATTATAGCCAATACTACGAGTTAGGATCCTACAAGTCCAGAGAAAAATATACAAATCCACAAGACCATAAAGCTTCATTGATATCTATCTCTCCCACCAGGTAAAGTAAAAAAAATGGCATATACAACCTGATATAAGGTCGCATACATATTCGACCTTCCTGCAGAGCAAACGGGTTCTTCTACGAAGAAATTCAGAAGAGAAATTCAAAACTCACCTTAAGTGCGGGTCTTTGGTATAGCATGACACCTCCATAGACAACAGCCAACAGGACATAATTCAGGAAAGACTGTGAAGTAGGAGCGTTTATTCCTAAAAGCATTCAAATTTGAGAGAGATTCATTGGATCAGTGTGTATGGCCATCTTATCAGGACCCAGAGAATCCCACAATCATCAGGGAAGCGCAACAACAGGAAAAACACAAGTTTCAGACAGAACATGAAACTGTGTTCTAAGCATCGGCTTATATCCAAGCATCGAACTAGTTCCAAAAAAAACCAAACCCAGCATGACTAACTAAATTCATCTCATTAGAATCACCAAAGGGAATTGCAGGAAGAACACGAAGCTGCGTAATCATAATTAATTGCTTGTTTCTAAGCCATAATCCTAACAAGCAATGGAATCCCGGACATGAAAACAAGGTACCTATAAGCCAAAAGAGGAAATACCCACAATTTGTTTTTGAAAAAAAAGTAAAACAATAACCTTTTCGAGCGAGCTCAGAAGATGTAAACCCAGTAGAAGTAACGAGAAGCGAGAGAAACTGCCCCAACCCAAGACCAATCAACGTCTTCTTCGTCCAGATTTCCTTGATCTCCACCATGGCTCTCTTCGTCTGGCTGCTCCGAGAAATCTCCGACGAAAAGAAAAAAAAAATAATTGATCTAAAAAACCCAGAACAAGAATCAAAGGAAACCAGAGAGAAACCCAGCTGAAGAAGACGAAGACGAAGGCGAGAGCCTCCGTTGAGAATTCAGGGTTTATATAAAATCATGAAACAGAGGAGCCTATGGAGTATGGAGTATATATGATGTTACAAATCGCGGCCGCTAAGTGCAAACCACTAAACCGTTGAATTTGGGATGAAAATTCATTTTATTTTATTTTTGTTTTTATGCTTTAATTAATAAATAATTTTATTAAAATAAAGTACTCAGGTGATTGTGGGCCCCACTTGGGCCCATTGGGCTACGGCGTAAAGCCGATCACTTGTCTGTTAATTAAGGAAAAAAAGGTAATTAATTTAGCCTTAGGCATTATTAGCAAGCAAGCAGCAAACTCGGACCAAATCTGATATTTTCACATTATAAAATCAGTTACTGTTTTCAGTTGACTATTTTTCAAGGAAGTAGTTTCTTGTATTATATATAATTCTAAATATTTTTAATTAGATTATCTAAAACAATTCTATATATCCAATAAGAATTCAACGATTGATCAAATATTATATTAGGTATGCAGTAAAAGAAATTAAATATATCTAAAATATTGCTATATATTTATGATAATGTATAATATGTAGTGGAGAAAGTTACATTGAAAACGATTTGGCGTAAATAACAGGGAATATATATATATATATATATATATGTATATGTATGTATATATATGATGTATACATACATCGTACGTGTGCTTTTTATGTAGAAAGATATTCCATAAAGATGGGGACAGTTCGATTTGGGCATCTCTATTCATGACATAAAAAAAAAAGTGAATTAGACATTATATCCATTTTCTTACATTGTTTTTGAGTGTTGCGGAGAATCAATCACCACATTGATTTAACCCTTCATTTTTTTTTCTCTATTGCATCTCTTACCTTTAATTTTTTATTATGAAAACTATGTATTGCATAAAGTAGGAAAGTGCATATATATATATATATATATATATATGTATATATATAATGGAAGTCGTGTTCCTCTAGACAATAATTACATAAAAAAATCGAACTTCTTTTACCTAGACGTGTCATGACAATGATAACTTATATATATATATATATATATATATACATGTATATGCATATATATATTTGAGTGTATAAACAAGTCAGAAATACTTGATAAAAAAAATTGAATGATATCCAATATTAACAATTTATTTTTTTTAAAGAGTATAGTTGTATTTCAAAGTTTGGTGATTTATTGAATTATATATTGTTTGGTGGTGCAACTGATAAAAAATAAAAATTCGATTTGGGTGCCCACATTTTTTTATAACGAAAGTACTACATGAAAAAAAAAACGATATTACGAAGTGTGGACCCTTTTCCGAGCCCAATAGAAAAAGGGCCTTATTAACATTTCTGGCCCAACCCGGAAATGGGTTGGGTTTCTGAAACGACACCGTTTTAGTGAGTAACGAACAACTAACAGCGACAACCGATAAAAAAAAAAAAAAAGACGAGAAGAAGATCTGTCTGACAACTGGGAGAAAGTACCTTTGACTTTAACTGCGGTGATGATAGATCAACACCATGACCCTCCACTCAGAATCTGAAGCCTAGAAGACCTACATGCAGGACAGTTCCATTCAAGAATGATCATCAACACATCATCGTATCGTCATTTCACAAAACCCTGTCCGAAACATCATCTAATCTGTCTCACTCTCATTACCATTTCCTCTCTCTCCATACTCATCTCCCTCGAAACCACAATCACACGCAGCAGCAGCATCACCATCTCTTACCAAGATCCTCCACTCCTTCTAGAACCTTCCAAACCCCACCTCTCAGAATCTTCCCAGATTCCTTATTCCTTCTCCATCTGTCCCAAGAACTTCACCAACTACTTGCCTTGTCATGACCCGACAAGGGCACGCCGGTTCAGCCTCCAAAACAGGTTCCGGAGGGAGAGGCACTGTCCTGAGTCGGTCCACGAGAAGGTCAGGTGCTTAGTTCCAAACCCTAATGGCTACAGAACTCCGTTTTCTTGGCCAGAGAGCAGAGACAACGTCTGGTTCAAGAATGTGCCTTTCAAGAAGCTGGTAGAGCTAAAGAAGACTCAGAACTGGGTGAGGCTCGAAGGGGACCGATTCGTTTTCCCAGGCGGTGGCACTTCTTTCCCCGAAGGCGTGGAGGGCTATGTCGATGTCATAAATGGGGTTTTGCCATTGTCTTCAGGGAGCATCAGAACTGCTCTGGACATCGGATGCGGGGTGAGTTTTGGTCGATACGACATATCTATCTATACATGTCGTTGAATTGAAGCTTTGATTCAGTTTCAGAACTTCTAAAAACTCGTAGGGTTCACTTAATCTGAGTTGTCTGAGATTTCTCGTACTGTTAGGATCAATGGGTCATTGATTACAGTGCTTATGGATTGAAAAGTGATGAACTTGTTTATTTCTCAGCGCCCAAAATACGGATTCTCATATGTTTCTTGAACTTGAAAAATGTCAGGTAGCGAGTTTCGGAGCATTCTTACAGAACCATAACATCTTGACAATGTCGATAGCACCGAGGGATATACACGAGGCTCAGGTTCAGCTTGCCTTAGAACGAGGGATCCCGGCTATGCTCGGTGTCCTCAACACCTTTAAACTACCTTTCCCTTCGAGCTCTTTCGACATGGTCCACTGTTCCAGATGCCTCATCAACTGGACTGCCAACGGTATATATTGTGTGTGTGTATATATCTTCTGATCATAGTTTAGCACTTCCTTCTCTTTTTTCATGATACTGAGAGCAGAGAATTGTGCAGATGGGTTATACTTGATGGAGGTTGATCGTATTCTTCGTCCGGGTGGTTACATGGTGTTGTCTGGACCGCCTGTGACTCATCCAAAGGTTAAACGCAAGAAGGAAGGCAGAGATTCCAAGAACTCGGGGGAAGAAAAGGACATGTTAGAAGAAGTGTCTAGAAGAATTTGTTGGGAGAAAATCTCGGAGAGACACCCTGTTGCCATCTGGAGAAAGCCTTCTAATCATCTTCATTGTAGCCAGAAGCTTCAAGCTAATGATTCTCCCCGCTTCTGCACTTCGAGAGAGCCCGAGATTGCATGGTAATGTCTGTACATGTTCTCGCTCTGCATCAACGGAATCTCGGATCTTCCATTACAGTTCTCCACATTCAATTCTCTTACACAACAGGTACAGCAAGATGGAACCATGCATTACTCGTCTGGAAGAAACATCGGCCCCGGTTCTGAAAAACTGGCCCGAGCGACTAAACGACCCACCTCGACGAATCAAAGCCGGGAAAATGCAGAGAACTACGCTTTCCAGCTTTACATCCGACATTGATACGTGGCAAAGAAGAGTTCTTCACTATGACAGGATCCTAAAGTTTCTTGGCAATGGCAAGTACAGGAACATCATGGACATGAATGCAGGATTTGGTGGGTTTTCTGCAGCTTTGGTGAGGTATCCGGTCTGGGTAATGAACGTGGTGCCCTTTGATGCCAAACCAGATACACTTGGTATTGTATATGATCGAGGCCTTATAGGAACTTACATGAACTGGTAACTGAAAACATTCATAAATGTACATTGGTTTTTGATTGGCATATGTCGGATGTATGTGTATATATATATATAATACTTTTCTGATATATTTTTTGATCTTTTCTATTTTTGGGTTTGAAACGCAGGTGTGAGGCTTTTTCAACATACCCTCGAACGTGTGATCTGGTCCATGCAAATGGTTTGCTCAGCATGTACTTACACAAGTAAAAACTTGTTTCTGTATTCACCAAAGTATAAAAATTTCGAAACTTTGTTACGAGATTGTAAGTTGTAACATATCGACTTTTGTTTTTTTGGAATTATTACAGATGTGACATTGTTGATATACTGATCAAGATTCATCGGATTCTCAGACCACGAGGAGCTGTGATCATACGTGATCGTATCGACGTTGTCATTAAAGCAAAGATCATTGTTGAGGGCTTTAGATGGAATGGAACCATATATTCAGATGAAGATTATAGTTTTGACCATGAAAAGATTCTAATTGTAGACAACTCTGTTATCTGGTAGGGTTTAAATTGTTAAATATAAAAGCAAGAGGCGCATTCGCATATATTTTAAGAATCTGTGGTTTTTTCTTTTCCCATTGATGGGGCCGAATTGAAAATATCAAGAGTTGGCAAAATCAGTCGGAAATTGTATCTTGCAAATTCCATCTTTTTAACAGAAAAAATATTAAAAAAGTTATTTTCTTTTCCTTGGCCGCGTTGCCTCTCTGTCTTCCCATCTCTCTCTCTCTCTCCTCTCTCTCTCTCTGGGAAGAGCTTTTCTGGAAGAATATCCAGTACGCACGTCTCTCTCTCTCTCTCTCTCCAAATCGAGAAAATTAAACAAAACTTTACACAGAGAGATTGTCCAGCTTCTCTTGGGAGAGAAAGGTAGAGACTTTACAGGTGATTCTCCTCACCCTTTTGCTCATATTATAATTAGCTAAAATTGGTTTTTTTTTGGGGACACTTCCTATTCTTGAATTCGCCCCTCTGTCGCTTGCCTTTGACGCATTCCCTCTCATTCTTTATCTCCTCTTTGCTGTTTGTTCGCTTTTATCTTTTGGGCTTCGGGTTGTTTCCAGTCCTTTGGGATCTCCGTGTTCTTCTCTGTTCTTCCGTTTTGTTTTGGAATCGATCCCCATCGTCTCTTCCCTCATCTGCCTCCTGTTGTTTGTTTCTTCTGTTCGATTCTGTGGGTTTTTTCTGTTTCTTGTTAACCGATTTGTGTGTGATTCCGATGGACGGTGATTACCATCGACGCGGCCTGGTGGTAAGAATTTCATGTAATCTCATTGATCATTCGAATTGTTCGTTGGGATGAAGTAGATATCTGAGATTTCCGGCTGGGTGTCTTAAAGGTTGAAAATTGACGTTTATGCGTTCGTGAAATGGTGTAAAGGTGCTAACTTTCCTGTGAATTCCCATAAAAATTTTCTGTCTTGCTCAAGTGAAAATGCATGGAATATACGTGATGATCAGAATTCATTTCATCATGCGATGGAATAGTGCTTCAATTCTCGCTGTTACATTCAAAAGTTGAACTGGCTTTGAAGAACATTTGTCTTATCTCCATCTTGATAGTAGGTTCTGTTGTATTAAGCCTGTGGAGACAGACAGACAGATAGAGAATCTTTTTCTTGCTTGTAATTCTGGCATGGAAAGATCTGTTCTGTCTGTGCATAAATCTTTGCCAAAACCTTGTGAGTAATGTAATATGTGAAAGATGAACTCTGCAGGCGAATGAACGTTCACCCACTTACTTTGTTCGGTTGGATAAACCAAGGGCAGTAGACGATCTGTATATAGGCAAAAGAGAAAAGATGCGTAGGTGGCTGTGCTGTGCTCGTCATATCGAAGAACCTTACCATTCAGCTGAACACGAAAGCCTCAAAAGTCCCAGGCACCATAATGATGGTATGTTCCTACCGTAAATTTCTGGCCATCCTAGCACATGTTTGCTCAATATTTTCTCTCTTGTTGTGTGCAAGTGGTCGATGATTTTATAAAGTATCAGAGAATGTGGATAGGTGAGTTAAAAGCAAGCTTTTATGAACTCATGTAGGAGTAAAAGAGAAAAAATAGGTGAAAGGCTGTGACTTCAGCCTGATGTGATATGTTTTGTTTTTTCGGGTTATCCTTCTTCCTTTTTTGATTTATGAATTTGATATGGTTTTTCTCTTTGGTGCTTCTCTCTCAACTTGTTATATAGAGTTGCTTCATACTGAAGCCTATTAAATTGGATTGTAGTATCGATTTTGCCTAAGGGTACTCCTCTTGGTTCCATGTTTTGCATGTGCAGGCTATGCGAGAAAACCACCGGCTCCTGTGAAGCCGGATGTCCTCAAGGAACCTCCTCCGATTGATGTGCCAAAGTTGTCATTGGATGAGTTAAAAGAAAAGACTGACAATTTTGGTTCTAAAGCATTGATCGGAGAAGGATCATATGGAAGAGTATACTATGCGAACTTGGATGATGCAAAGGCTGTGGCGGTGAAGAAGCTCGATAATTCGGCTGAACCTGAATCAAATGTAGAGTTTTTGACACAGGTGATGAGAGATTCACATCCTCATCTTGACAATTGAGTTGACACTATTGCTTAAGCCATTTGAAGATTTTGTATGGTGACACTTTAATTCTCTTCTTCCATTGCTTTAACAGATCTCCAGGGTTTCGAAGTTGAAGCATGAAAACTGTGTTCAGCTCCTTGGCTACTGTGTTGAAGGGAATAACCGTGTCCTCGTGTATGAGTTTGCCACCATGGGATCCTTGCATGACATTTTACATGGTAGGAATAGCTTTCTTTTCTTTCATCATCATTTTTGACATTTTTTAAGGTTGATTCACAAGTGAATTGGGTGGACATCGATTGGGATATATGAACAAATTTTATGTAAAAACAGGGAGAAAAGGGGTCCAAGGGGCACAGCCTGGACCGACCCTTGAATGGATGCAGCGAGTAAGAATTGCGGTTGATGCAGCTAGGGGTCTGGAATACTTGCATGAGAAAGTTCAACCTCCCATAATACATAGAGACATCCGTTCGAGCAATGTTCTTCTCTTTGAAGACTTCAAAGCCAAGATTGCCGATTTTAATCTATCGAATCAAGCTCCTGATATGGCTGCTCGCCTTCATTCAACCAGAGTTTTGGGAACATTTGGTTACCATGCTCCAGAGTATTGTTTCTGCAGTCTAATTCTTGTTCATGCAGCTTCAGATTTGTGTTATTTTAATAGTATTTTTCCTTTGATTCCTTAAGTTTTGAGACAGAGGAATTGGAGGTTTGAATCGAAATTTGCCTTGTAGGTACGCTATGACTGGACAGTTGACGCAAAAGAGTGACGTATACAGTTTCGGTGTAGTGCTCCTGGAGCTTTTAACCGGGAGAAAGCCCGTCGATCATACAATGCCGCGTGGACAACAAAGTCTTGTAACCTGGGTGAGAACCAGAATCTCCATATTTTTCCATAAAATCTTGCTTCCGAATACTGAATATTCTCAGATTAACTTCCTCTGAAATCAACTTTTATATTCAGGCAACACCAAGGCTGAGCGAAGACAAAGTCAAACAATGTGTTGATCCAAAGCTTCAAGGGAATTATCCTCCCAAAGCAGTTTCTAAGGTAAAAAAATAAAACAACGACTTTCTCGTTTCTTGTAGAAAAAATTGTATAGAAATAACGAGTAGAAGCTGATAAAGGTTCTTGTCGGCTTGAATTTATGTTCTTGATGACACAGCTTGCAGCAGTGGCAGCTCTCTGCGTGCAATATGAAGCAGAGTTCAGGCCGAACATGAGCATCGTGGTAAAAGCCCTGCAGCCATTGTTGAGGCCTCCATCCACAGCTGTTCCCGCCCCCGAAACCTGATCTCCCGTTAAACTGAAAGACCCATTACCGAGTTCAGTCTGGTAATTCAAGATTTCCGCAGGAATGGTTGCAAAGTTTGGTTTCCAATGTTTTTCTCATCTGTGGATGGATGTCTTCAAGACTCAAAGAAGAGTGTTTTTTACTCCTTTTGAGGTTCTGTCAAGGAATGGAATATGAGGGACATATGTGTAGGGATTGAGTTCATTTGAGAGAGGGATGTGTTTTCATTGTCTGTTTTGGTGGGGCTTGATGAAAATGTTACATAAGGTTTGCGCGTTTAGTAACACAACGTTATCAACTCTGGATTGTTGTCTCCTCTGGATTCTTTCATATGTCTTTATTTATTACAGCTTGTGGGTTTTAAAGTCTATTACTACTCTCATCAGTTGCAGAACTGTTTGGATGAATACTCGTTTCTGGTGCCAGAGCTGTCAGAAAACAATCCCCTTGGTCACTTGTTAGCAATCTTTGCATTCCCTTCGTGTGTTTTTTCCTTATCTTCTGCTGTTTCTATTCGTATTTCCAGAGATGATGAGGAAACGATCATCCACAATGCTAAGGTGAAGATTTCTTGAAACCCAAGTTACTGGAAAGTAAGGAACCCTAATGCGTTGTTTCTGAAAAGGAAGAATCTGACAACGAACGCTTGGTATTGTTACTATTGTATTGTCCCCAGTGATCGAATTTCGAACAAGAAACACGAACAGAGGTTTAAATGAAAAGCCCATTATATTATTGGGCTGAGTATATTGAAAGGCCCCATCGGCCCATAACTGCATTGCCCTATGATGGGAATTCCCGCCAGATGGAAGACGACAATGGCGAAAAAGCGAAAATCATCGAGTCGCCCTGCCCCGCGATCGCCGTGTTCTCGCTATCAAACCCGACCCGACCCGATTTCTTCTCCGGCACACGACACGATTGCCCGAACTCCCTTCTCCGCCGGAGCTAGCACTGCGGTCCAGTCCCTGAATTCGGTTCGTTTTCTTTACGATTTTCAGAAGCAAGAGCCTATGTGTCCGGTTTCATTCTCTTCGACTTGCGTTGTTCTCATGCGAATTCTGGCTTCGTTTTCGGATGTTAAGGTTTTTCTGTCTGATTGGTGGCTGAGAAGGGTACAAGGGAAGGGTTTATCCGTTGCAGGGTTTGAGGCTAAAGGGTATAAAGCACAAACCTTTATCCTCTATACTTTCATTAATTTAAGACAACACCAGTCAACGGGGTGATATTTCTGGAATTTTCTTAGCCTGTAGTGCTCCGAATTTGAACGAGATTTGAGTTTAGGGCTTGTCGGGTTTGAATTTAATATCTAGCTCTTGTAATGTAAGATATAACCTGGATTAGTAGTTCTTATTTTATAAGGATTCTTGCAGTACACAATGGAATGGAGACTTGTGAATTGCTTGTTGATGGAGTTTTATGTGTATACATATAAATGGTAGGGGATCAGGGGTGAGGCTCTTTTCATCAGGAGCCATTTCGAAAAGACATGACAGTACCACTCTCGAGACGGTTGAGGGGATTACAGTTTCCATCAGTGGCTTGATTAACAGGTTGCGTACCCTACAGAATGGATTTTCCTTCGAGGTGTGTTGGATATCTCCTTTGCTTTTCGGCTCGCCCTTGTTATAGTCGATAGATTCTTCATTATGTGCTCTTATCTGTGATATGTCCTTGTATCTTTCTTTGAATTTTCTTTCTTGAGATTGGACTTCAGCTTTGGTGCTAGTGTTACCTCCTCACTATCATCAACCTTGGGTCCTTGTCATTGGATGCTTGGTTCTACGTGTAGAAAACTGTCTAACACTCAGTTGCCAGTGATACTTATGACTCGGAATGATTACTAGCTGATAATTAATGTGGTTGAGAAAAGTTTTCTGACAAACAAAGATTCATGTGACAACAGGTATGCAGCCATTTCCTTATGGGTTTCCCGTGGTACTGGGAACACTATGCTACTCTGTCATGTGGTCAAGAAGAAACGGGAGAGAAGCATGACCAGACAAATGAAGGCAGGCCAGCCAGTTTGAAGGGTGAATCAGCTAGTTGTTCCACAGTTTCGTTCGATGATATTCCTGTAAACAGGTTTTATGAACTACTGATGTCTCCTCCCAACCATTCTAAAGACTGTTTGGGAAATAAGGCTTTGGATGAGGTGCTTGGAAGATTAAGACACTGCATTTCCCAAGGAAGTCCAGTCAAAGAACAATCTGACAAGAGATTTGAAACTTCAGCTGATAGCATAAATTCTGAAGCCGGGGAGGAGGAGGAAGGAGCAGATCATGATAAGAAAATGGCAACGGGGATGGGTGTGAAGACAAGAGGCATGATGAGACTGAGGAGGACGATTAAGGAAGAAGGGGATCTACCCTTTGGGTGTGCCCCGGGGAAAAGATTCCAAAATGCACGATACATGGCATCAGTAGAAGCGAGAAACGCGTCCAGGAACAGTTCAGTAGAGAAGAATGGACAAAGTCTGTCCTCTAAAGCTTCCTCTGCGTATGATGATTATTCTGAGCTCACCATCTGAAATTCTGAACAGATGGACCGTGGAGACACTGAGAGGACACCGGACTGTGGAAAGCTGAAGTCGGCAAGAAGATTAAGCGTGCAGCCCTTAATCTGTGGACTGCCGATAGAGAATGTGAATCTCGGTTTACTCAAACCGGCTAGTTAACCGGGTAGTCCAAGGGAGAAAAAAAAAGTAAAAAAGGAATAAATTTTTCGATTGATTTAAATGAACGACACAAAAAAGCAGAACAGCAACATGGTGTTTTGTTTTGTTTTTTTTCCAAAAAAAGAAAATAATCCAAAAATGTGAGGAATGGATTCCGAATACTTTAAAAGAAGGCGTGAGGAGAGCTCCTTCAGTAATATTAGTGTCATCAAGTAGAAGAATAGAGAAGGTTGTTCTTGGACCAAGTATTGACTCGGATATGAGAGAGAGTCTTTGAGCAGCGGCTGCATGAAGTTTATTTGCATTTTGTAACCCCAATAGACTCCCATCCGAAATCTCTGGCTAATAATCCCGGGCCAAAAGAATTTAAAATCCTGCAGCAACAAACCATGATAAATATATACAGGCATGCTCTGTTTTTAGCATTCAGATGATAGATACTGCTACTACTTTTGCTGCCTAGGGTTCATTCCAGTTCTTGAATATTATAATTCAGTGATTAAGCAAAAATCTGATATTTTTTTTCTTCTATGGATCTAATTATCTTAGATGGTGTTTGTTATGGGGAGCTTGAATCGTACAAAATATTATCACAAAGCTGGAAGAGAGGAAGAAATTAACGACGTACTCTTTTTAAGCAAAACTTTTTATCTGGGAAGAAGCGGCGCTCTGTCATCTGCCTCAACGCGGTGAGTGGCCTGTTCATGTAACAAAACAAATAAAATATATGATTCAAAAAAAAAAAACAATCTTCAAATAAATTGCCACAAACTATAACAACTGCCATGTAAGCTTCACAAAAGAAAAAGATAGGAACAAATGTGTGTTCTTCTTCACCTCTTCATTTGCTCCCGCTGCCATGTTGATGAATGCGTCTTTAGCCCTGCCGCAAACAAATAGAAGAATAAAGGAAGTTAAACTGTGTAAAAACATGGCTTCATTCATCTGACACAGCGTCTTCCTAATCGGACGCCGTGATATCAAAGAAAGAAATAATCCACGACCTGTGAACATCTGGCACATTAACTAACTCTAGCTTCCCGTTCTGCTGCTCGTCTCTGACTTTTGAAAGCGGTGAAAAGAACTGCACAAAAATTGGGCAGAAAGAGGGAGGAATTAAGCCTGTTTTTCCCAAGTTTAATCGATCCAACCATGAAAACTGTTCGTATGGATTTACCTGGTGCATTGAAATGAAGACAATAGAAATCCCCAGGAGAAAGTTCATGGTTAAAGTGTGTCCAAAGAGAGCTGCAGATGCTATTCCGGTAAATATTGTAGCAACAGTGGACGAATACTTCTTCAAGATAGTATCTGAAACCACAAAATAATGAGTTAATATCCACGGAGAACTTTTCTACAGAGTAATCAACCAAGTACATTCAGTGAATTCACAACTTTCCCAATGCACTGAACCAGTGTCGAGATTCATCCAGAACCAACCCAATGAGCAAAAGAATCTAACAAAACAGAGTGTGATATTACCTGCATATTTGAAGAAAAAGGAAGACAAAATTCCTTGTGCTGCATTGTTAAATATGAGAAGCATGGTAGCTTTAGAATGTCCTTGCAAGATGTCAAAGCTGCTAGGGCCTGTGAATTTTGGGACAGCTTTTCCTTAGCAGTGCATTATGATAACTATAAGGAATTTCATCCCTCACAAGCTGTCAGAAACTATTATAACACTAAATTTGTTTCGAGTGTTTCATCTGGCTTCCATACAACTACAAATTTTCTCGTACCTTTAACGATGGTCATTCCCAGTATCGCAAGAAAGTTGAATATTGCACCATAACCATAGAGAAATAAGTTCTGCACCAGGGAAAACGCCGTCATTTTAGAGCAGATAAAGTACAAAGGAACGCAAAAGTAGAACAACATGGTCCTGAAATTTGACACCACAGCCAATAAAACCACATAACTCCTATTAATAGCTACAGCATCGTGCTTGAGATTGTAAACCACCACAGTCAACTCAACCCTCAAGAGATTCCAAGCGCTTATTATAGAAGGCCCCATCCAAGGAGGACCCACAGTTCGAGTACGGAGAACTACAAGCATATCATTTCCTCGGCACAAAATCGAAAATAATATGCACGAACATAGTCTAACCTGAAGATAAATGCTTGTCTCGTACTGGCTCTTCAGAGCGTACTCATTGAAGACAGATGCCATAGATGGAACAGTGACCTGCATAATGAATTGCTGTTTAAGTCTCTGACATGCATAACAAATTTTCCTTAATGCGTTAATGGGTAGGACACAAAAGACCCTCAATATACAAGAATGGTTCTTAGAGACAAATATAAGTATATATCCGAGAAGAACAAACGTAAGCATCCGCTATAATAACTTACAAAGATCAGGGTGTAGATGTATGCCCCCGTAGTAACAGGAATGCCTAAAGCAGTAGAACCTCCAGGTAGAGAACGCAGCTGGTTTACACTTATCCCTATCAACAACAGAGCAAGTGCTTCCCACTACGATATATATAAAGATAAGCATGACATCAGCGCCTAGAAATAATATGCCCAATCACAACTCCGTGATAAGGTTAAAAGCAAACTTCCACAATAGTGCTGAATAATTCAGGAAAAGAATAATGCTATGTAATAAATAAGAATACGAAGCAACCTAACCTGTATGATGGAAAAACGACGTTTCATTATCATCTTCAACAGAACAGCAATCACCAGAACCTTTAGATTGCTGAGCATCTTCACGGTAGCAGGGTTGAAATACAGCTGGCAATCAGATACTATATTTAATGTATGCAATTGAATGACAAAAATCTAGTATGTGCTAGCTGATGTAGATAAATCACCATAGCAATATTCAAAGGAAGATCGGAAGTTTTTTCATCACTAATGCTTAATATCGTGCGGTACACAATCTAATTACAATGTACACGATTTTATTCAGGGGCCAATCCCACAGGAGACTCACAATCACCAGAGGCAGCAATAACGTAAACGAAATGTCCAAAGGGAAATACGGAAAACAAAAGAAGGAAAAAGAAGGAAGGAAATCATTTACTCTTTAGTGTGCATGCGTAGAAACTGAGAAGCAAAGATGAGAGATTAACAATACAGAACTAAGAGAAGCTGAAATGGGATGAAGTTTGGTTTCCAGGATGCACTCAAAGCTAAAGATTTCTGTCTATGGCCTACATTGTAGAATCATATCAAATCCGCAGATACTCCAAAGCCTTGATCACCCAATTTCTACGGCAAACACTTAAGGTTCCATGTAATCCAATTATACTAAAAGTAAGTCAAGAAGGCACAACAGACAATGCTGCATATGTTCTGGTGCTAGGGGAGTAAAACACTGTCCATGACCCTAAGTACCAGAAGTACCAAAACCCCCGGCAGCAGACCTTATGAAAAGTAAGGTGCATTTGGATTGATGCCTTCAATCACATCATCTTAAATAACTTAATAAGACGATATAACATATGAAATGAAAAAGAAGAAGGATGTGTACCTGCATGATGAATTTTAGATAGTTATTAATAGCATACAGAAGAGCTGGAACAGCAAGAAGCACATTGTTTCTAGCTGCCTGCAAAAAAAGCTCTCGTAAGTAATACCTACATTATGAATATTCAAGCTCTTAAACTCAAATATAGTGATGCAGCAGATATGCACAACATAGAAAATGAAGGAATTAGATGTATTGAAGAATTGCCAAGCAGCATCTATAATGCAAACTATTGTGCTTGGATAAGCATTGCTTTGTAAAGCTTTGTAATCATCAACTAGTAGAAAAATAATAGCATTGTAAATGTACTTATAGTGCACTGAGCATCATTATCCAAATGGCTCAATGTTATGCGATTAATCATCCAAACTTCTGATTCGTCAAAAACGCCTTAACTTGAAGCGCTCAATAAAAGAAAAGGGCTACATGAACTTATGAAATCTAGAAAACGAAGTGATACCCAGGAAGAGATATGTATTTACCAACTATATAAACATATAGCTAGCTATTGACAATAAGAAACTCTTAAAATAGGCCAAAATGCAATTGTACAGCAGTAACTTTCCAATAGCACAACATCAGAATCTTGATTAATCAAAGAAAGGGGTACCTGGACGAATGTTGAAAAAGATAGGAGTGGCTTCTCTCCAACTTTTTGGTGCCTAGCCTAAAAATTACCATAAAAGTAAAATATCAAAAGAGCTCCAACTGTTCTTCAAGGGGAAGCAGGAGAGACGAAAGGAAGCAATAAGTGAAAAACCAAAAAACTAACTATATATAGAAAAGTGAATGTGAACCCTCTCCCTCTTTGCCTCTCACTACCAGTACATCACCATTCTGATTCCCAACTCTGGAAATGCATTAGAGCAAAGCCCTTTTTGACCATCATTCAACTCCTTTCATGTCCAAATACAGAAGAAACACCTACCAACTAGTCTTAGATGAGGAAAAGTTTTGGAACACAACAACACTTCAACAGGACACATAAATGGGCTAGGTCGAGATTATGAACCCAATTCGTTCAGATCTTGTCCATATCTATGTTGACTTATCCACTAAGGGTATCCATTATTCTCCAGAAGTGAAGTCAATCCAGAAACATACCTCGAACAAAAGCATGACAACTGCAAAAAGAACCTTGGTCATTTCCGTCAAGAAGTTGACACTAACGGGACTGAAGTTGAATTTCCCATCCACTTTAGACATGTAAACTAAGACAGGCTGGAAGGAACAAATAAAAATAAGTGATTTTAGACACAAACGATGAAATTAAAAAAAGTGAAACAAAAGGTTATAAACTTGGATATCACTGCAACTGATAAACAAAAGCCATCAGGCAGCATCGTCAAGATAACATTGTAGAAGTATACATATACTTTCTTAACTTGATCCACAATAGACACTGACATATGGTCCTGACGCCAATGGAAAAGAATTCAGAGTTGGTCTTAACAAAGTCAAACCAAAGCAATTTACCTGTAGACCAACTAGGATGCAGTCACCAACTACCAAAAGGACATTGAGAGCACGTTGTTTTGAGGATACCCTGATCTTGTGGTTGTCATAAGCCCTTGAAACAGTTTTGCTAGTGGGAGAAACAATTCTCGAACGACATACGCTGCACTCCATCATCCCGTTCTTCATCGGCCTTCCCCCAAACTGATAACTATAGACCGCGCTAAACCTGAAAACAGCAACCGCAATCAAGAGCATTCAGAACAGAAAGCATGCAACCTAAATCGATTATTTTCAACCTAATGCTCATAACGCATAAGAAAATTTCAGCTTTCGGAAGAACTGAAGCCAAAAATTTATCAATCCGCAGAGTTCGACATAAAAACAAAAGATATCTGGATCAAAGAGTGAGATAATCTTCCTGAATGCCAAACGAGATAACACGATCAGATCTCATAAACACTAAACCACCATAATTCACAAAAAAAAAAGACAGAAAATGGATCTAAAACCCCAAACATGGTTCATAAAATCCCAGCTTTCTGCAAAAAAAAATCGAACTCGGAGATTCGAAATCTGAATTTAGATCGAACAAACTGACCTTACTCGACAAGAATGATCAGCTTAGCAAGGCATTTCCCCGATCATGTTCTCTTCCCCGAAACGTTAATATATTCAGCCAGATCCAGACCTCGACCTCCAGAGGAATTCGATTCCCTACCTGAGATTCAAATTCAGGAATCCGACAGGATCTAGAAATCTCCTCGGGCTTCAGTCGCAGTAAAGATGCCAGGAATATGCAGAGAGAGAGAGAGAGAGAGAGAGAGAGAGAGAGAGAGAGAGAGAGAATCCGTCGGTGTCGTTCCTAACAGAAGTGCGCTCTTATTCTTGCACGATTAATTTGCTTTGATTTCACAACACCGTCTTTTAGCGTTTCTTAGAAATTTAGTGAAGAAAAAGGAAAAAAAAAAAAGGTGTCCGTTCATGTCCGTCACGGACACGTGCATTTACGAAGTTGACAGACCAATTAGGTGCCAGGATTTTGGTGGGAAGCCGAAGCATGAGTGGCTGCGAAGCTATCTCAGATGACGTGGCATGAGGGTGATGGTGGCTGTGAAGAAGTCCTCTGTTTCGGTTCTTTCGCTTCCATTCCATATGTAATATAAGCGTTTTCCAACACCCGAAATGGTTAGATTTGTCACTTATCTACCAATGTAAATGAATTTCTAATTCTGTAAAAATATTTAAATTAATTATATCTTAATTTTTTATTCAATTAAAAATATATTTATAATTTTAATTTACTATTTTAAATGTTTATTGTAAAACAAATCAAAATAGGGCTATATTTATTATATATATATATATATGTATGTTATTGTAGAAATTAAAATTTTCTTTTATAAAGAATAGGATAGTTTGGATTTGTAATATCTCTCTATGTACTTTTTAGATGAATAACCTTTTCGGATTATTTATTATTGTTAGTTTAATGGTGGTGTTTGGGGGTGGCCATTTCATTATTAACCGAATAATCGAGCCGAACCGAACCGAATAAGATATAACCGTATTCGAACCGAATCCGACATTAAAACTGAACGGTTATGATTTCCTTAAACCCAAAAAACCGAAACTGAAATCGAACTGAACCGAATAAAAAATAATCGAAAAAACCGAGAGAATAACCGATAATTTTGTTGGAAAATTGAATTTTTTATCAAAACCGAACTGAACCCGAACCGAAAAATAACCGAACCGAACCGAACCGAAATTTATATAAAAACCGAATGGTTATAGTTTTTCTATAACCGAAATAACCGAACCGAACGAAATCCGAATTGACCACCTCTAGTGGTGTTTTATTTTGTGGTAAAGACTGAAATGGAAAAAGAGAAAAAAACTTTTCATTTTGTGTCCCGTTGTTATATTTAATATTTTATTAAATAGGCGTTGGAGAAATCCACGTTAAGTATATTATGTGGTCCATAAGTGGAGATGCATTAAATACTATAATTGGTGGAATAAGCATTGACCAAGGACACACGACGAAGATGGATTGATTAAAAAGGGGTGGACTTTTCACTATTCGATTCGGGTTGTACTAAAAAATAGTTCGGTTCGGTTTTTAATTTTATAAAAATATATATATTAATCGGTTAATATATTATATTCAGTCCGATATAATTTTAATTCAGTTCGGTTTTGAGAATATATAATAATCTTAACAAAATATTAAAAATAACAAAAAAAACAACTTTTAATTTTATATTGAATCATGTAAATATAACAAAAAAATCAATTATACTTATAGAATTATATGAAATAATAATTAAAAAATGTAAATCGAATATAAATTTGAACATATGCAATCTATATTCAGTATTTTGATATGATCATATGATATAGTTTAAAAATTAATTAAAGATAATTTTTTAAAATAAATTTAATTGGTTTGAATATAAAAATATTTTAAGAATAAATAGCTTTTAATAAAAATTGAATGATTATAAATTTTACACAAAAACAAAAATGGATAAAAAATATTACAAAAATTAGATATATCCCACGCACACACTTATTATTAAAGATGGAATAATTACATAAGTAAAATTTTGTATACACTAATAAATTAATAAAGTTTTTTTTGGCAGATTAGGTTTCTTTTTTGTTTGTTTTTATTTTTTATTTAAAAAATATTTATTAGAAATTCGATTGGCTATTTGTCCCTGAATAATTATCGGAGCTTAATATTATATACCGACTCATCGTTATTGTACCAGGAGTCTTGTCGCAGAGAATTGGGGAAAGAGGCGCAGAACAAGTGGTTTGAAGTTTGGCGAACCCTAATCTGGAATCAATTCGCTGTCTTCGCCATAGATTTCTCTTTTACAAGTTGTCCTTCTATCGGAAGCAGTGTGTCCTCGTGAATCTTCTCCTCTGGTTCTTTTCGGATTCATCGCTCTGTTTCTGGATGCTTCATCGATGTGGTTATCGGTTGTTTGATCTCTGTATTGGAGAAGGAATCTCTTCTTCCTTCGGTTGAGCGATTTTCTCTCTGTATCGGTGTCACGTCCTACTTGATTCAGGGGATTGAAATTATATGCTGTGGTTCGCTCCACTGCAGTGGAAAACCAGGTTTTTGTTTGGTCCTGTATGGCTTCCGAGAATGACTGGGAAACTGGGGGATGTATTGCGGTGACACAAGAAAGGTGCGAGCTTTAGAATTGATTTAACTGGGTTTGGATTATTATTTTGTTTTTGGAGGCAAACTCAATCATGGTGGCTTCTGGTTTCGTGAGTAGTCTGCAAAATTTGTGGCCTTTTTCAGTGTGGAAATACGATGACCTGAGACGGTCGTCGGAGTTGGTTGGCAGACTTTCAGTACCCGAAAGCACAAAAAACTTTGTCTTTGCCATTAGAGTCCCGGAGAATGATTCTGTAATTTACATACTCTCTGCGCAGAATTTGTCTGAGAGATCTGCTAGAGATGCCGAGTGTCTTATCAAGGAAGTCCGTCCTGATGCAGTAGTGGTTCAAGTCGATAAATCAGCCATGGCTGAAAGTCAGAATGAGGAGAGTGGATTAGGAGATGGCTCCACTGATTCAGTTCCCACATCAGCGTTTCAAGTGCTTAAACAATGCTTCGTGGACAAGGTCAACAAAGAAAATTATGAGAGCGTTGCTGGGATCCTGGTTTTAAGGGAGATTTTCGGGACTAGCTTTAACGGGCATTACTTAGCTGCCAAGAGGATGGCTGAGCAGGTTGGTTCGTCGTTTATGGTACTTGAATCTCCCTTTGTCAATATCTCTGCCATGGATTGTTCCTCCGGAGAATTCGAGACAGGAAACAAGTTGCAAGGCTTAGCCAATAGTTTCCTTCCACTGTATTCTGGCTCTAATGTACTATCAACATCTAGGAGGTCTCTTATAACCAACGAAGTGCAGGCACGGATGCTGAAGTTGCTATCTTCGCATATTAACCAGCTCAGTAAAGAGTTTGGCCCTTCAGCTGGTGAACCCAATGAGATTCAACCACTTGAGAATTATGCGGTTCCATCATTTGCTCAGTCGATTTATCCCTTGCTTGTGGACCTCCATGATATATTTAACGACCTCCCATTTATCGGTAGAGCTCTAGCCAATGCCAGAAAGATGCTGTCTGATGTAAATAGAGGGGAAGCCGTGGATGCAAAGATCGTTTCTGAGGTTTATATATTTCAGATTGCAGTTGAAGGTCTAAGAATTGCTCTGAACAACGCCGGTCGTGTACCCATCAAGAACATGGGAAGTTCGAGCCTGATTGAAGTTGATTTTTCAAAGCTGTCATCGGAGGACAAATCTTATGCCCTTATTGCAGATCTACTTAAAAACCAGGCTGAAAAGTTTAAGACTATAGTAGCTATAGTAGATGCTAGCAACCTTGCTGGTCTTAGGAAGCATTGGAATACATGTGTTCCTCGGGAGGTGAAGGATATGTCTGGACATATATTAACAGGCATTGATGATGATGATGACAATAAGAGCAATAACTCAAAGTTGAAACGACTGTTATCTGATAAACCTGTGGTAGCGGTCGGTGCAGGTGCAACTGCTCTCTGGAGCGCTTCATCACTCTCCAAGGCAATTTCTGCTTCTCCCTTCATGAAGATTGTAACTTTCAAAGTCCCATCTTCGTTGAATCTTTTCTTGACACATACCCAGAAGGTAATGACGCTGGCCTTTAGTAAGGTAATGGGTCCATCGAAAGTGATGATGGCTCCGGGTTTTGCGAGCTCTGGAGCCAAATCAACTTCCGTGCTAAAGGCATCTCTATCCGCCGAGAAAATCCGAGCAGTAACCCATAGCCTCATTGCTTCTGTCGAGAAGACGAGTTTCTCTGCCATGAGAACTGCATTCTATGAAATAATGAGGAAAAGACAAGCAAGACCTCTCCGTGCTCTGCCATTGGCGACGTTCGGGGCCAGCCTTGCAACTTGTACGGGATTGGTTGTGTACGGAGATGGGATCGAATGTGCAGCCGGATCTCTTCCTTCAGCCCCTTCCATTGCGAACTTGGGCCGAGGGATTCAGAACTTACGAGAGGCGTCTCAGGTAGTGAGGCAGATCGAAGGCAACAAGATACAAAACTCTATTGAGTCCCTTATGCAAAGACTGAAGAAAGTGAAGATACAATAAAGAAGTCCCCTTTGCCATTTGTGTTTCCCTTTGGATCACTGTAAATACTCATTTTGGTCTGATTGGAACTTGATCTTTGATTTTTGACATGAAAAAAAAACGTAAAAATAAATGTTGGTTTCATGATCTTTGCAGTCTTTACAACACAAACTGATTTCTGCAAATATTCTTGCTCAGTTAAGTTCTCTAAGAACATATACAAATCAGTCAGAAGAATGATGATCCTGACCGGATGACCTTCTATGCCGGTGAGAATGCCTGTGGTGTTTATGGCCTTTGCCAGAACGTTCTTCTGCATTATAAGATCTCGTCTTGCTAACAGATACTTCTTCGTCGCCATATCGGCCTCCTCTCCTTTGTGATCTCTCTTTCTGAGAATATTCTTTCCTGTCAGAATGGATAATTGTATTGGAATGCTCATCTTCGTGTTCGCTGTATCTTCTTTGAGAACTTTTCGATTGTGACCTCTTCCTGTGATACGACTCCCTTCTCTCGACGGAATTGTTCCTCTCTCTAAACTCGTCTCTTTCTACAGAACTCTTTTCCCGACGATGCCCTTCCTCTCTATCTTGAGTACTTCTTTTTTTCCTCGGGGGTGAAGGGACCTTCATCCACAAACAAGTTTAGTAATCGATACACGAAAGTCCTCCCGGGGGGGTGTTTGAAGACGAGAACTTGAGATCAAAATTGAAAAAAAGGAAAATCCAATGCTTCAGTTCGAATGTAAAGAACAAGTTCAGTGATTTCAGATAAAACCAGAGAGTAGTGATCCAAATGACAGTAGAAAAAAGCGGAGTACCTGGTTGCGTGACATGTATTTTCCCTCGGGTGGAGGTGGAATGCC